GCAGTGGAAGCGTGCTGGGCCCATAACCCAGAGGTCCGTGGATCGAAACCACGCTCTGCTAAGGAATGTTTAACTTTTTACTTTTTTCTTTTGTGCATTGGTACCACATTCTTACCAAACTCTTCTTACCTACTATTAAATTTTACTCGTTACAAGTGAAATTTAAAGAAAAAAAATACTAAGAAAGCCGATATATAAAACTCAAAAACAATTTGTAATGTAAAAACTGAAAAAAAAATTAATTATTGGGAAATCAACCCCTTTATTAGCAGAGCGTGGTTTCGATCCACGGACCTCTGGGTTATGGGCCCAGCACGCTTCCACTGCGCCACTCTGCTTCGGTGACAGAGCTTGCGAAAAATTGCAGGACGTTTCAAAAAATTATTTTTACACCTTTATCTTCATTTTTCGATTATACGTCTCCAATTCTGCGTATACCTGCCTTCCCATAAACGATTTTACGTACTTACGTGATCTTGTAATGCAAGAAATTTTTTTTTCCACGCGATCCCTGAAACTTACCCCTTCTTCACTGACTATCCCCTTTTTTGTCTGTTTCAGTCCGACATCGTCCATCAAAGCGTATACGAGCTGGTACACAGCGAGGATCGAGAGGAGTTGCAAAGGCAGCTTATGTGGAACTCGTTTCTTCCCAGTGAAAGTGCAAGTCTCCCTTTGCACGACGCCCTTTCACCCCAACACAGTCACCTTTTGGAGCGAAGCTTCACTGTCCGCTTCCGGTGTCTTCTGGACAACACGTCCGGTTTTTTGGTGAGTTTTGGTGTTTGAAATATCACAGATATCTTTTTTAAAAGTTTACAGAAGTTTGTGAAAGATTTTTTTAAAAACTAATAATATTAAAGATAATATTACTTTATCTTTCATCGAATGATTACTTTCCTCCATCTTTTCTCCATTGGGATTCTATATAAAAATAATCGTTATTTTATCGTAATCTCGAAGATATTAAATTCTCTCGTACTAAATTTCTCTTATTAAGATTATTTAAAGATTAATTCAAGATCAAGTTACATCATTCGAAAGACAAAAGAAATCATTTCAATCAACGATCACTTTTTAAGATTATTCAAAATATTCAAATATCTTCAATTTTTTTCAAATCTTTATCTTATTTCAAATTAACATAGGAGTAGATTTCCAAATCCAAAGAAGGAGAATCTCTCGTCTCTTCCCAATATTGTTTGGATATTTATGTTGCCCAGGCCATGCACGTTTCCACTGCTGAGCCCAATCGATACCGGGGGTCTTTAGCTGTGCGTATCTCGCATGCCTGGTCACAGTTCCACGTTCGTTTAAGGAACGTAGACTCGCAACGTAAGCTCTGGTTCATTCATGGAAACCTCTTCGTACACGGTCACGCGAACGAGGATGATCCTTTGACCCACGGAGATATCTTGTACGATATGTATAGACGAGAAATCTTTCTTTCTCGTTTTTCTCACGAATATGTCAAATAACAATTAAAGAGAGAAACCTGTTCGACCCCGTTATTGCGAAAATGTCGCCACTTATCGATCCGATTTTTACGGCATCAAATTTTCATAATTGCAAGCGAGAACAGCGTTTAACCTCAGCTCGCGATAATAGAGTTAATCGAGGAGCAGGGGGCAAGTCTCTCCCTGTAATTACCGCGTGTTTTCCTCGGGCATCCGGCAGTGATGGTGATGGTGGTGGTGGTGGTGATGATGGTGATTGGAATTGCTCATTTTCTCTCAAGAAATTTACGATACCACTCCGCGTCATAATGTATGTATGTCGTAATCTTTCTTGTCATTTTCTTGTCGCGATTTTGATCGAGGGAGGAATTGTTGTTCGATCTTCTTCTTCCTCTTTAAAGAGAGAATAAAATTGATACGAAGAATAATTTCATGCGACAGAGATAATCAACAGGGGATTAGAATAGTTTCGTCGTAAAACTTTTACAGTGTCATTTTTATAAACGCTGAATGCTAATTGGATGACTTTTTCCTTCACCCCTCTCTTCTTATCATCCCATTATTTACCTTCGTATTTGCCAATTATTGAGATTAAATAAAATTTAACTATTAATTTGAGAAATAAAATTGTAAAAATCGGACTCTTCCTTCGATTCCTTTTATCAATCTAGTAGTATTCTATTTTTTTTTTTTTTTTTTTTTTACTAGCGTTTGGACATCAGGGGACGAGTGAAGATACTCCACGGTCAAAACAGGAAAACGGAGGAGCCACCGTTGGCACTGTTCGCCCTGTGCACGCCGTTCGGCCCGCCCTCGTTGCTCGAAGTCCCGCAGAAGGACGTGATGTTCAAGAGCAAGCACAAACTGGATCTCGCGCTCGTGTCCATGGATCAACGGGGGAAAATGTTGTTGGGCTATTCGGACGCCGAACTCGCAAACCTTGGCGGCTACGATCTAGTCCATTACGACGATTTGGCATACGTGGCGAGTGCCCACCAAGAACGTAAGCGCTTCTCCACTCCACGAAAACCAAAAAAAAAAAAAAAAAAATCCATATTCCAATTCAATTCGTTTCATCCCTCGATCGCTTCTCAGTGTTGAAGACGGGGGCCTCGGGGATGATAGCGTACAGATTCCAAAAGAAAGATGGCGGATGGCAGTGGCTGCAGACCAGCTCCAGGCTAGTCTACAAGAACTCTAAACCCGACTTCGTAATCAGCACGCATCGTCCCCTCATGTGAGTGTCTTTTCTTTCGTATCGAGTATAAATAAAATAACCTTCGCGAAACGATTCTCATTCTCATTCTCATTCTTCTCGATGCAGGGAGGAAGAGGGCAGAGATCTCCTCGGCAAACGAACGATGGACTTCAAGGTCAGTTATCTGGACGCCGGTCTCACCAACAGTTACTTTTCGGACAGCGACAGCCTCACCGGTTCGGTGATGACTCCGACCCTCCCCAGCCAACCCACGTCTCAGAGAGTGAACAGGCGGTACAAAACCCAACTGAGAGACTTCCTGTCCACCTGTCGGAACAAACGTACCAAACTGTCCGCGCAATCGTCCGTCTCCCCGCCCGCCACACCCACCGTCGCATCCGTCGACTACCTCGCCGCCGATACCAGCGCCGCCGCCGCGGTCGCGGCGGCATACAGCAACCTGAACACGATGTATCCGACCGCTTACGCGCCCACGGCAGTAGCCGCGACCACGGATCCCTCCTTGACCACGTACATCGGCCACACGGGCAACTATCATCAGACGTTGTACCCTGCAACCGCGTTGGACAACAGGTGAGCCTCATCGATTCCATTAGATAATTATTAACCCTCTCTCCAAACCTGTTTCGCTCGGTCGAACTTCAGATTCAGACCTGTGCGCGTTCGGTGGCCTCATAAGATTACTATAAGAAAATTACTCATAATAATAAGATTACGCCTCATAAGATTACACGTAAAGAGCTTAGGAATCTATTTATGAAGCGATATTTTTAAAAAATCAAATATAAATAAATATTGCCGCAACAATCCCAGTGGTGACTGAGAGTCACCGTTGGAAAGCAAAGGGTTAATGTAATCACACTATCAAGTATAAGATTAAATTATTAATCCAGTACGAGGTAATTAATAATCTTCCATTGTTTCGAAGAAACCATTTATAGTTCGAATGAGCTTTCGTCCTATGAATGAACAAACTCTCTCTCGAATCACAATTATACGTAAATCCTTTTGAATTCCATTTGGAACAGATACCTGACCGCAGCTACGGAGAACCTGTTCCAATACAGGCCCCTGGGCACGTACTACCCCGAGTACCACACGAGCACAGCGTACAACGGCTTCATAGACGTCCCCCTGCCTACGTACGAGACCCACCAACTGGCCAGCAAAGCCGAGGAGAAGCTCTACTGCCAGCAATTGGGCGAGTCGCCCAAGTACAGCTACGTGGAGGCGAGACACCCGAGCAGCGTGAGCGGCTCTCCCTACGCGTCTAGCCCCGTTGCTGCGACCGCCTCGACCGCCATGCAGCAGCAGCAGCAGCAGCAGCAACAGCAACAGCAACAACAGCACACCGCCGACATCGGCATCGTTCGAGCGGGCAGCAGACACTCCCTCGAGGGTGGGGCTGGCTCGTCGAGCAATTCCGCTGGAAGCTCGCCGGTCACAGGGGCTACGAACGGCGTGCTGACGCCGAAAATAGAGGACGTGAAGCCGGAAGTGTACGGGGGCGAAGCGCCCCGGCAAACGGTGCTCATGTGGGGGGCGCCACCCGCTCGCACGCCGCCCAGGAACAACGGCAGCTACAGCCCACCCACGCCTCACTCCACTCACTCGTCCACCCACTCGACCAACGCCACGGGGGGCGGGGGGGATCCCCTCAAGTCGTTGGCGGAAATGAACTCGATGAACGGGGAGTGCAAATGGCGGCAGGCGTCGCCCGGCGAGCAACAGGGCGCGGCGCCCAGCTCGCCCAGGGCCAAGGCGCAGCCGCAGCAGCAGCAACAACACCAACAACACCATCAGCAACAGCAGCAACACCAACAGTACCAACCGGTGACCACGTCTCAGTATCAAGCGGCGGCGGCTGCAGCTGCAGCGGCCGCGGCCGCGGCGGCGAGCACTATCGGATACGCGCACTCGCATCCAGGCCACGGCCACGGGGATACGGGCTCCGAGGTATGGCAAGGAGTGCAACACCACCACCACTACCAGTACTATCCTTACCACCATCACCACCCCGCACCACCAAGGCACGCGCCCCAGTGAGTGTCACAGATGCTGCTGCCTCACGCATTTTTAAAAGTAATTAATACGCGGCCGGGGGAGCCGAGTTGCGAGTTACGTTCTCTAGAGGACCTGGGATTCGAGTAGAGTAGAATTTTTTTTTTTTTTCGTTTTATAGTAAGAGAGAGAGGGAATTATTTGGAAATGTAGGATATTTTTTTCTCAAAGGAGACGCGTAACGTCTGGTCTTTCGATGAACGAGAATAATTAAAAATTGTAAAAATGATATTTGACCGTTGGGCATGCGCGTAAGAAATGCATGAACAATTCTCTCGAATCGTATAGCTATCGATTCAATCATATACTCTGCATGTCCACGTTTTTTATTTTTCGAAGTTTCTTTTATTTTTTTCTCTCTTCGTATAGTTTGATTTAGCTCACTGCACTTACAAGAGAATTTTTATCCGACGCAAGTCGAAAGTCGAGAGAGAATTTTCTACCGACGAATTATTATAGTGATCATTCGATATGAGTAATAATCGAATATGAAATATATATATATACATATATATATATAGGGAGTGAGATGGGTAACGCGAGGGGTTCGAAAGGGGTCGTGGAAGTAACGGGGAAACACGCGGTTTCGGTTGCAGCACGCCCCCGTCAGCTGTGGGAACAACGGGGACAGGAGTCGGCATGGGCATCGGGCAGGACAGCAGCACCAGCAACAGCAACGTCTTGTACCACCCCCCGCACCACCACCACCATCCTCAGCACCAACACGCGGTGGGATCATCAGCGGCGGGAATGGGCCCAACTGTCCCTCAGATTCCAAACCGGACACCGGGAGTCCTTTGCTGTCCATCTCTGAGGTGACTAACACCCTGCTCAACCAATAGCCTCCTCGTCACCTCGGCATCGCTCCGTTTCAGTGATCAAGGTAACTTTCCAATAATGCAAAGAACAATTGACAAACAAATTTAATATATTCACAATGATGATTATACAACAATCGTGATAGATATTACTCGTCCAACTGTGGACGAAAAACCGTTTGTATCGAGAGATAGAATACACTTAGACGATAGAATGAACTTCTATTTTCTCCATAAAAAAATTTCCTCCCCAGTTGGATAGAATAATCATAAAACGTATATGATACATCATATTCTCGATTTTGTTCGCAGGTATCTCTCAGGAGATGGTTTCACCGAGGCGAATCACAAAGCGCGTGACTGTACCATACAGATAATACCAGGTTAAAAGCCTGTCAAAAAGTGTTTCCCCGCTAACGTAACTCGTTACAGTTTGCCACGACGTGTTAAGTTTTCACGAGGGGGGGGTTATCCTCGGGAAGAATTTCGAGTCGATCGCTACGTCGAATCGTGAAATCGCGAAATCGAAAGGCGATGATTACAGGGATATGTATTTCCCTGCATTCGAAACGAGCGGGGGAACCGGTGGAGATCTATGATCCACGTTTCGAACCGCGTTCGCGTGGCAAGTTTTCCGCTGATGGAGAATGATTGATAGAGAATTTCTGCGAGCCGAACGTATGTAATTTAAAAGGTACGTTCGTAATTATGATATCGATATTGGGTTCGGATTCGTGAATGAACGATAGAGATAGTGGAGCGTGGCTAGAGAGCGTTTCCTCGGTCGCGACCGATTTTTCGTAACTTCCTGCTGTTTCGCGTGTAATTATACGGAACAAAAGTGGTCCCCTCCTGCCTTCCACTGTGAAAAATTTTTCTCACAGAGATACGAGAATTCCGAATGCAGTTCCTTGGTCCGGGTGAACGGCGATAGCCACGCTTCTTAACCTTCGTAAAGATTTGCATAGATTGTATTTCGTCGAGGAGCACAAAAATATATGAAAATGATCGCCTCGATCGAGCCTATGTAAAAAGGAGAAACGCAACATTTAAAACGCGGAATTTAGTTTTTTTTTTTTTATTAGGCCTAATATCGTGTGCCGTTACGTACCGTCGTTGCTTTGTTTCATTTCCTTGTTTCGATGTCCTTTTCGCGATGTTTTGCGAACGTTCGCAGTGAGATATATTCCGAAAAAAAAAAAAAAAAAAAGAAATAGGGAGGACTCGCGAGGGGTGGTTAATTTGCGGTGTGACCATTTTTTTTCTTTTTAATGGAGTACACACGATTCTGTGATATGTGTTAGATGTATTTTAAAAGTGCGGTAATTTCTGAAAAGATGTTTTAAGATTTATGTAAAAAAAAGAAAAAAAAAAAGAAAAAAATGGTATCCTGGGAAAAAATCGACTGGGCCGTCTACCTGGTACGTTTTGCCGCACTTGTACTTGTGGAGAGGAATCGAATTATACCTTCGCATATGTAATATTCGCATTTCCCGAATTCGAACTGGATGGACCAAAGTGAAGAATGTGAAATTATCACGTTACTTAATACGTTATTAAACGTTCCTTTTTATTTGCAAAAGTGAAATAATCGTGAACGTGTAATTCGATTCCTGTGCCTACATCGCTTGCGTTTTCCTTTGTCCGAAGAAGAGACAGTTTCCGTATTCCGTTAAACGAAAGAAAAGAGAAAAGAAGAGGAAGAAACAATGGGGAAGGGGGGAAAGTTTTGATCCGGCCGAGCCTCGAGTCTTGCCAATGTTTTTTTTTGTTAATAAGTTTGTAATTTTTGTACTTAATTAATTTATACGGCTATTTATGTACACGCGCGTATATCGACGAGGGTCTAGCGAAGCTAGGCCGAGCCTTCCATAATTTTAGACGTGTTACTCTTATTTCGCGAACGTAACGTCCGTGCTCGAGAAAAACGAGAAGACTGCGCGAACGTAGAGGAATAGGGGCGAGAAGGGGAGGAAGGGGAACGGAAGCGTTCGTGGCGTCGAATCTGTCCGCTTCGAATCTTCGGAGATAGAGAAAAAGAGAAAAGGAAAGAAGAAGAAAAACGAAAAAAAGAAAAAGAAAAAAGAAAAGAAAGGAAAAAATCGTGATTTTATTTTGCGCATACATATCAGAACGAAAGAGGGAGAAG